GAGAACAATCTAAATTAAATGTGAATAGGTATCTGTGTTTGTCCTAACATTTGTGCCATCAACATATTAAATACAAGTGTGCCTATTCTAACAGTCACATTGTTATCTATATTAAATCTAGAGTTGATAAAGCCAGTTTAATAAAGGTTAAGTCAATTCAAACTCAAAGACTCGAGTTTATTTTCAACATTGAAGCAAGATCTCTACAATAATGATTATGACAAGATTTGTTTTGTCAACAAAGACCCTTGTTTAAATGAAATTCAGTCACATTCTCCAGAAACTGCACCATTAACGGCATTCATTGTCTTTTTTAAAAGAAATTCATAAATGTTGTTTATGTTAAATCTGTCAGCTGATATCACCGGCATCTTGACCAAAATTTACCCAACAAATAGGCTGGTATTTCGTAAATGTAAAGAAATATGGAAAGTTAAGTAGAACCAAAATCGCAAAAAGAAAACCTTATTAACCAATATAGATTCTTTCCTGGAACAAGAAGTTTTAAAGGAAAGAAATTCCCAGTTTAATTTCATTTTTGTTGCTTACGTTTATGGAGGCCGCCATGTTGTAATTCCGCTTATGATGTGGGAGGATTTCATTGGCTAAAATAATTTTTCTATTTTACGAACAAAAGTATAGATAGAACTAAATGATGGTTCATCTAAATATTTGATCAAAATTTCAAATCATCTTAGCACTATAAGAACATTGACTGCATTTAAACTAACACAATATTAAGACTCGCAGACAAAACCTGAATGGCGGGAAAATTCAAACTATAGATATAGGAAAGACATCATTTAGTACGTGTAAAAGTTAATTTTCTAACTTTTAGGAAAAAAATTAATAAACCGCATTTTGAAAAGTTTATCGCCAATTAGGTTTCCCCGCAGATCCGTAGATAGTCACCAGTCCACAGTAAAGAATGTAAGAAACTTTTTTAAAGATAATTATCCCCCGATCGCAATTGACTCAGGGGATATATCAGTAAAGCTCAGAACTTTGTATGTTGGTGGGTGAGTTAGGTCGTCTTTGACGTGTGCGTAACAAAAATGGCGTTATTTACACCGAGGTCTGTCGTTTAAACATGTATGCTCTTTTGCGAGGGAGATAATTATAGCTTTGCTGTGCACTATGGTGCTCCGATCCCCCTGTTCTGAAAGTCAGGCATTTACTAATAATTGAAAATGCTCAAAATGTCTCTAAATTCTCAAAGTAATGTGATTTTACCCACGAAAATTCTTCATACTTCCTCTTTGAAGTTAATCATAATACATAGGGAAAAATGAGTAAATCATCTCTCTCTATTTTTTTTTTTTTTTTTTTTTTTTTTTGCGAGAAGAAACTACTACTATGCATTTTCAATCCAAATTTGATCAACAAACACATTTTAGAAATAAAAAACTGATTTTACTATGCATAGTGTATAAAGATTTTCCTATCATTGCAAAACACCATGTCAGAATCATTTCTAATTTCATATCATGTTAATAAACATTGGTATCTATGGTTTGATTAAGGATAAATAACACAAACAAAAAATCCGAAATACCGGTAATTCTCATAGATTTACATTTAAATTGGTAGCCTGAATAATGTTTACCAAGTATAGTGGGAGAATTTTATAAGATTTTGTCATAAGGTTAAAATTTGGTGCAAAATTTTGTATGGAATTATATAGAAGGCAATATCTAAGCACCAATGAAATCGTACGATTTCTTAATATTACATGGATTTATTATTTATGTCATTTCAAATCAAAATCAGTCAAAAAATATATATCAATCCATGCATAAAATTTTTGTTTGTGGTAAGTACCCTTAAAATGAACCTCAATTTCTTTAAATATGAAATCTTAATATACTTTTAAGGGGGTAAAAATTTGAACTTTTTATAAGATCTTTCTGAGAACTTTGAAACACATTAACAGGTATAAAATGAAAATTGTTGCAAACGAAAAAAAAAAGTAATTTTCAAGCTTCATTTTGAGACTTTTTGAATTAAATTATAAATCAAATAGTTATCCTTCCTGGCTGAGGATCGGTGTACCTTAATTAAGTCTCCCCTTCAAAGAGGAGACATATCGGGGTTTTTTTTTAAATATCATTTTATTAGTGAAATATACAGAGACAACGAAAAATTAAAAAGAAATGCAGTTCGTTTCAAAACTTAATTCTGACATATCCCAAAAGATTCATGTGAGCAAAAAACCAGGGGACTCCAGTACACAATGTTAAATTTGCCTTGAGGGCTTTATTTCATTCTGACCCTCTTTTTTCTTGTTTGATGTGGACCTCAATTGAATCGAAACTAATCAAGGGGGACCGAGGAATCGACTGGGCTCGACGAAGAGCCTTGATCAGTAACGTAATCAAAGATAATGAAATCTGAGATAATGGCTTTCTTTTGTGATGGGTAAAGTTAAGATTTACAGAAGTCATGGAAAATGGAGTATGTCACTCCCCGGGTCAGACAGTAGATCTGTAATGCATTACTGGGACTGGAACGCGCTTTTTCTTTTCACATATCGATCCACGATCGGCTTCCAAGAAGCAAAGGCTTGAGTCGCGGCAATGTGCAGATATTAATTATGATGTTTATTCACTTTTCACGAAATGCAATTCCAAAAATGCCTCTCGGAAAGCCGGGCACATTTCTACCACTTTATCAAATGTGTGGAAATTGTGATTCACATCCTAATGTTGCAAATCGATTGGTCAGATTGAGCATTAATGAGCTAGAAATGAAATAACACGATACATCGAGTTAAAAACAGACTGTTTTTGAAAATTACGTTGTTTCTGTGTGTTAAGTGCTTTTTATTTTGGCAGTGTCGATTCCTGCATTCCCTTGGGAATATGGAAAGATGCATTTTTATCCATTGCAGAGTATGTGAGCGGTCGATCGCTTGCAAAGAGCTGAGAAAAAATCAGGAGTGAAGACGGCATTTAAGCGCTTGACTCATCTGTCGCACCTTTCCTTGATCTTCTGGCATTTGGGGGAGAGAATGGTGTTTTCTTGACATTTATTAAATGTCATACGAAAGTTAAGCTAATACTCTAGAGTGAGCACCGCCTAAGAATTTCAAGAAAGGCACCGGATTCGGCTGCCGTGATTTCAGCACCGGAGACGCCCCCGAGTGGAAGAGGAGATATTGGCGTTTTTTCCTATTCTTTGTTATTGAATAAACAATTTTGGAGTGACGCAGTCCTGTGTTCTTTCACATTGAAGACCTGTCATTCCAGTGCTTGGGTGTCAGGAGTAAGTGAAGCCCTGGATTCTCGTCGGTTTTATGAAGAAGTCTATTGATCCTGGAATTGGCTGATTTCAGAGGCGTTAGATCCGCGTAATTATTCCATTATTTTCAGAGCAAACCGTCACTGGTCGAGGAACTTTTACCAAACAACCACAAAATTAAGAATAATTTTGCAGTATGGAGAAAGTTCTATATCGTGGTTTCTATTGATCTCGTCAAAATTAAGTTAAACGCTTTGTGAAGGAACGTATAGGGCGAACAGATGCCTATGGTCTTTAGTCACGGAGATTTCTTAGAAAGGATTCCTTAAATGTGCAAAATGTGATATAATTCTTATAACGGGGGATATAAGTACATTACCTATATCAACTATGTCTTCGCTGTCGCCTTTTACTAACACAGGACTGGGGTATGGTATGGGAATCTACCGACCCAGAAGGCCAAGCTACACGTACGCAACACAAGCCCCTCGACAGAGAACGGAGAGTTACAGGTATGCCGTTCGTAAGAGTACAGGGGACCCTGAAAATACCGACTTCATTGAGGGAATGACAAATTCTAGTAAACGGGGTCGTAAGGAAAGTTATTTTCAAGCCGTTAAACGAGATGATCGGAATGTGGAAATGGCTCAAGTGGAAGTTAGAATAGACCCGCCAAAACCAGAGGAGGAGCAGACGATTATAAATAATCGACACTCTTTGAACAAACTTCCCGATGAACACATTAATGAATTAAAAAGAGCAATTTTGAGACGAACAAAAAGTTTAGAACGAGAGAATCGAGTGCCAGATACTTATATGGCTCCCAGGAGTGTCTCTAATGATCAACTGAACTTGCCAGCGGAAAATCACTGCTTCAACAAACCTGATACAACGGGGACTCCAAACTCAGAACTTAGTAGCAATGTTCCTTCCGTTATTCTGTTTACTTTTAAGAAGAACCTTGTTTTTCTGTGCATTAGCTTCATTCTATTGTTTTCAGTGTTTAGAGCCATTCAGAATCTCCAGACGTCCATTAACGACGAGAGATATCTAGGAGTTACCGCCATGTCTTGTGTACATGGTGCAATGTTTGTAACCTGTTTGTGGGCTCCAGTTTTTATAAACCTCATGTCTGCCAAATGGGCAATAACTTGTGGAATGTTCAGTTTCCTTGCTTGGACCGGTGCCAATTTTTACCCTAGTTTTTATACCCTAGTCCCCACTGGGCTTTTCTCGGGGTGGGGACAAGGGATCCTATGGACTGCTGAGGCGTCGTACATCTTAAAGTTAGCCTTTGATTCTTCAAGAATCACGAAGAAGGGCATAGACAAAGAAGTGTTCAGATTTAACGGATTTTTTCTTGCCGGGTTTCAGACGACTCACATTTGGGGAAATTTAATTTCATCCATTATTATTTCTTCCACCACAGCAGACGATACTGGGAATGATGACGTAAGTGGTGAACTTCATCCTAACTTCACAGCAAGTATCCAGGTCCCAACTAGCATCAATAAATGTGGGGGGCTGTACCCCTGCAGTCCGGTACCCGGGGGTGTCATGGAGGTCTCAGGTTTGTGTCAAGAAGGCAATGAATATTTTAGTATACTAATTTACTAAATGCATTGTATTTACATGTACCGTGGAAAAAATATGAATGGGTGGATCTTAGTACTTCATGGGTCACTCAGTGTACATGTACATGTAATGGCAGATTAGTGAAGGGGGGGGGGGGGGGGTAAATTGTTTCCACATTTCTTTCTTTTAAAACTCAACATACGCCGAAATATGGCTAAAATATTGCCGACTCGATGCTAAACAATATAAATCGATCAATCATTCATTTTGGACTTTTTGGTTACAGAAGACGTACCGGTACATGGAGACATCTACATTTTTCTAACGTACTGTATATGGGTATATGGGTGAAATGACAGTGATACTGCTTTTTTCTTTAAAAGAGGTGCTTAATTGTGTTTTGACAAACGTAAAAAGGCAAATCATAGCTCTAATTATATAACACATGTATACTTGCTCCCTACAAGTCGAACATATCTAGAGCTATCTGTTAAAAAAAGTTCAATCACGTGAAAGAACCGTGCATATAGAAATGTTGCAAGTACAGTGTAGTGGAAGAGAGATACGAGTTCGAAATTCGTTAAATTATAAATCCCAATGCAAGATTTAACTGAAATCAATTCCTTGATGTCAAGCACAGGGCTTCCCAGTTTTTATTGCTTCTTAAATAGCCTTCCTTGAATACGGAGAATAAACTTAAAATTTTGCAGATTATTACTAAACAGGGGTACCTGTAAAGTGCGAAACGAAATAGAAACGAAACGAAACGAAACGAACTGAAACGAAACGAAATCTGCCGAAACGAAACGAAGTCTACCGAAACGAAACGAAACCTACCGAAACGAAACGAAATCAAGACGAAACGAAACGAAATCAAAACGAAACCTGCCGAAACGAAACGAAACAACACTATCAAAATGTTTTGTTTTTTTTAATCAAGGTACATGTATATAATTATAAATATGTAACTACATGTGAACTTTTTTTTTTACTTCAAATAAAATTCATATACTTCAAGCACTTGTTAATAGAAAAATTTAATTACCGATAAATTATGCTCCCTTCTCAGTCTAATGATGCATTTACGTGTTTGCAAGCTGCAAATATGCACGAGCGTACTATGCATGTATAGTTTCAATATGTGCATTACTTTCTAATTTTTATATCTTACTCTTATTTTCAGTCCTTATTTATATAGATTCAACATATCTATCAAAATTGATGTGTTACATGTAAAGGCTCGTTTATGTACGGGTCGAAATAAAGTCACTGTACTGTTGTATTGCGAATGTCTTAAAACATAGGATAAACCAGAGACTTAGAGTATTTAGTATTCCATTCCAAGGTGTCTGGTTTTTTTTGTTCAATTATACATGTAACTCCAACCGAAATCTTGTGTATCCTTTCTACGTACATACGGTCCTATTTTTATCGAGGTAATTTTGGAGGAAGAAAGGAGTGGTTTGCAATAAAGAGGCTTGACCATAGACGTCTTAAACGATTTAACTGACAAGTAAAAAGTCTCTCGAAGCGAACGATATCATTTTTAAGTAGGTAAACTATTCAGTAAGATATTAAAAAAATATGACATAGGTGTCGGAAGCGGCGGGGAGGAGGGGTTAGCCTCCATCCCCACTTTCTTGCAAAGATATATATTACATAGGCATTGAAAACTGGGGTTTACCTTTTTGTTGGTTAAGCCCCCCCCCCCCCCCCCCCAACTTTCAATTTCCTTCCGACGCCTATGTAGGAACTTGAAGCGAAACAATTGCCTGTGGTGCTTGAACTATATAAATTTCATATGAAGTAAAAATAGACAATATAAACATTCTAAAAGTTTTGTTTCGTTTCGTTTCGGCAGGTTTCGTTTTGATTTCGTTTCGTTTCGTCTTGATTTCGTTTCGTTTCGCAGTAGGTTTCGTTTCGTTTCGGTAGATTTCGTTTCGTTTCGGCAGATTTCGTTTCGTTTCAGTTCGTTTCGTTTCGTTTCGTTTCTATTTCGTTTCGCACTTTACAGGTACCCTACTAAACAGCAATCAAGTTAATGAATAATTTGCTTTTCAATTTGATTTTTCGTAATCTGTAAATAACATCCCATAATTACACTATGATATGAAATAGAATCTGCTTAATAAATGCATATTAAATCCCTTTGATGCAAATAGAATTGTGTAATATACAATTAAACTGCAATGTACCATCAAAGTCTATTATAAAACTGCATGTTATTTGATAAACAATCCCCAAATTCAAATTAATTAGATTTTTTGAAAAAATCATTTTTTGCTTTAATCCTTCCTGCTTTTAAGATTATAATTATTATCTGATCCTTCAATTCTGCGGAACATACTATACATTAAGGAAAGATTCATTGATAAAACCATAATTTGGTTGAAGATAATTTTGAAATCCAGGATACTGGAATGGAAATAATATTTTGCAAACGAAATTAAATCCTAAACTAGACCACTGTCTTCTGAGGCATTTGACATTCATTCATTCATTTATTATCTCAAAAACCACATGTATGGTACAAGAGGTACATATAATGGACGAGCAGAAATTACAGGAGTACAGACTGTGTCAAATATGATAAACATACACACTTTTCGTAAGAATGCTGGATCAGTACGTGTCATCAAATTACAGAATTTTATAATATTTTGATGTAATAATTTTCGAACAGCCCTTGTACATAGTATTTCTGCTAGAAAAAATATTTTCGAATACTAACTAATACATTACATTCCAGTAAAGTAATGACATTCGTCTCCTATTTGATTATTATTACATAAATTGCACACTCTTTCATTTCTTTCAACATTATTCCATCTACCCACCTCTATATTGGAAGATTATTGTTACTTGTTCTGAATTTTGAAAAGATATTTCTTAATTTTCTTGGTAAAATAGCTAAGTATTTTTCACATTCAAACTTTGTTTTAAAAATTCTACATGTAATACCTTTACTGGAATGGACAGAGTAAGTGTAAAGGGTTTTGGAATGGGAGAGAGAGAGAGAGAGAGAGAGAGAGAGGAACGCAATATATGGTTTAGGTAGATATCAAAGAATACTACAATTGTAGTTGACAACAACAGAAAAAAATACATATTCGATCGGCGTATCTTCACATTCTTGATAAAAGAAGACTACAAAAGGAAGATATATATAGATCTACATCAATTATTGAAAACCGTATTCTCTATGTTACGTAACATTTTGATGTTTTGATATCCGTTCTTTTCCATTTTTTCTCAAAGTAACATAAAGTGGGATATAGACCACAAGGCTGACCCGAGTAACATTAGTACAATTCTCTGTTATCCTTGGACTTTCAGTAAGGCATGGCATTCTCAACGTTACATAATTAGCGTCTGGAATTTACGCAGTCTTTCATTTACTGTTGAAATTTACATGGGATAGAAATTCGGGCGAATGTCAACGAGTGTAGCTATGATCCAATGACAGCGTTCGGTATGGCAAAGAGGTGGGTCTTAAGTCGTCTCATTGTTGTCAACAACAATTTTAAGTTGTTGATGTTAATAATTTCTTAACCAATCAGAATCTTAGTCTATGTCGCCATTTGAGACGTAGCGCCGAGAATGCCACGCCTTACTGCAAGTCCAACTCCAGTACTGTGTTACCATCGGGGGCATAATGTTTCATAAACACATCTTGTTTTTACTTGTATTTTTAAAACTATTTGAACTTTCTCAAAATATTATTTCTATACAGGATTTTAATGAGTAGATCTTATGTTTTGTCAGATTGAAGAGAAAGGAACGTTTAAGGTTCACAGATCACCCACTTCTTTCTTTCTTTCTCTGTTGAAAAGGTCAACCTGTCTTAATGCCGGGCATAGTATCCAGAGTATTGAAAACTAATAAAAGAAATATAATTAATATTGTTAAGACAAATAAGTCTCATAAAGTACCATGCAATGCATTAATTGGGAGTCAAATTCGAAAGACGAAATGCATGGAAGATGAGCATTTCACGTCACTTCCTAGCTTAACTGAATCGGCCGCTGCGCTAACTCTATCACAGGCACGTGAAGTGTGGATACACCCCACCCCCTACCCCCTTGAGGCACCCACACCCCGTTTACCAAAAAAAAGGAGAAGAAACTTTAAAAAATAAATTCTTTTTCTACTGTGTATGGCCATTTTCAAATCGTGTGAAAAAGTACAATTCTAGCATTACATTTCTTTGCTATCAATAAACCATAACGGGGGATGGTAAAAGGGTTAAATCTTTTGTGTAGAGGTTGAGATTGTTTACTTGGACCCCATACATTGAAAAGACTTTGCAAATTAAAGTAATAGACAGAGAGAGGTGTAGTGGACAAACTTCGGGGAAAAATCGTTTCAAGCTTGGGCTCAGGTTAGCTAAAATACATATAAACGAACAAAGAAATCAGAAAGAGTTGAGTATGGGTTTCAATACGCCATTCTATATAGATCAATACTGAACCATCTCCAGGACGCAAACCTCCAAGATGGTGTGTCATCATGGAATCTAATTGATATCTCCCTCCGATCCACCAGAAAGCTTGTTAAACCACTTGAAAGGAAGACGATATGATTTTATCTGCATTATGAACCTAATTTAATGCATTTTTTGGAAATACTCTTTCGCTGTTGATATTGTTTTTCATCTTCTCTTAGAGTTCTCCCCGAAACGATCTTTGGACCACAGAAACCATTGCCATAGGCATGTTTTTTGCATGGCTAATTCTTATGTCCATTTTGGGACTAATTTAGGTCTCCATGAAAAGACTAGACTTGGTCCAGAACTAGATTAATTTTTGGGGGGACAGTAAAATATAGCCACACATTCAGAAAAAAAGTTAAAAAACAAATAAAATAAGCAAATCAATAGGTACTTGATTGATTTTATTTATATACTGGTGTATTTGTTTGTTTTCCGGTTGCTTCTCTTGTTTTGTTTTTTAACAATTAGCCCTTAAAATTAAAATATTTATCAAAGTCATTTCTACAAGACTATAAAATAATGTTGGTATTAAAAGTGCTAATTTTTGAATCCTTGTGTGAAACCTGCTACTAATACAGTGAAACCTGTATAATCCGACATAAAATGGAGACAGCTTTAGTGTCAGAATAAAAGGGTTTTCGAATTGCACAATGTATAAAAAATATTAAATAAATAAAATTGGAGAGGAAAAATTCGGAATTCACAGTGTTCAAAACGGGTTCTACATTAATTTTTCCTTGTACATACTGACAGCCTAAAATAAAAGCACTATATCCTTCTGTGTATAGTCTGATAATTTATAAATAATATGACAGAATAGTGGAAAATTACAGTATCTGGAATAATATTTCCTGAAACTGATTTCAGTAAAAAGGAGTTGCTTCAACTTCACTATGTCTCAAGCTTTTTTGAAATAGAGAGCATACAAAAAACAAGAGGCCCAAGGGCCACAGCGCTCACCTGAGCAAAAGCACATATCAGATCAGAACTTAAAGTTTACTGAGGTTGGGGGGGGGGGGACTTGAATTTTAACACCCCAGAGGATCATGATTTAAACAAACTAGAATCTACACTACCTGAGGATGATTCCATATAAATATTACTAATCATGGCTTTGAAGTACTTGAAAAGAAGATTTTAAAAGGTTTCCCTATATATTCCTATGTAAAACTTTGGTAGGCCATTGTGGCCCCACCCTACCCCAAGGGGTCATGATTTGAATAAACTTAAATCTACACTACCTGAGGATAATTTCACATGAGTTTCATCTTTCCTGTCTCAATGGTTCTTGAGAAGAGGATTTTTCATAGATTTTTTCCTATATACTCCTATGTAAAACTTTGGTCGGCCATTGTGGCCCCAACCTACCCCCCGGGGTCATGATTTAAACAAACTTGAATCTACACTATCTGAGGATGCTTCCACATGAGTTTCATCTTTCCTGGCCCAGTGGTTCTTGAGAAGAAGATTTTTAAAGATTTTCCCTATATACTCCTATGTAAAATTTTGTTCGGCCATTGTGGCCCCAACCTACCCCCGGGGGTCATGCTTTGAACAAACTTGAATCTACACTATCTGAGGATGCTTCCACATGAGTTTCATCTTTCCTGGCCCAGTGGTTCTTGAGAAGATTTTTAAAGATTTTCCGTATATACTCCTATGTAAAACTTTGGTCGGCCATTGTGGCCCCACCCTACCCCCGGGGGTCATGATTTGAACAAATTTGAATATACACTATCTGAGGATGCTTCCACATGAGTTTCATCTTTCTTGGACCAGTGGTTCTTGAGAAGAAGATTTTTTTAAAATGCCATTAATTTTTCACTAATTCATTATTATCTCCCCTTGGAAGAAAGCGTGGCCCTTCATTAGAACAAACTTGAATTCCCTTTACCTAAGGACACTTTGTGGCAAGTTTGGTTGAAATTGGCCCAGTGGTTCTTGAGAAGAAGATGAAAATGTGAAAAGTTTACGACGACGACGTCGACGACACCAACGACGACAGACGACGGACAAATTTTGATCAGAAAAGCTCACTTGAGCCTTCGGCTCAGGTGAGCTAAAAATGTATTCACACATTTTCTTGCAAATTAAACCTTCAAAAATATATCATTTAGCTCATACTTCATTAGGGTACTCTTATGTTTAATATCTTGACCGTGACTTTGGAGTTTGACTTGTTTTTGAGAAACTTTTGCCCTCTCCATAGCTACCACGTGAGCATCGTCTCAAGCCACGGTCCGGAGTCCGCATATAGCTCTTTCCTACCACGGCCATGCCACATGAGAGCTTAAGTTTTTTCCCGAAACACATTTTGTACCACGTTAACTTCATAAAATATGCACACTTCGATGAACAATTACAATTCTATACATTTTTGCGTGTTGAAAAAAGGGACTCGCGTTTCAAAAATTCCATATGAATAAGTAATAATAAGTATCAAAAGTAAAAAAGTTCCTAAAATTTCAGGTTTAACATTTTTCATCTTAATTTACAGATGAACAGAAATTACCAATGTTGTGGAAGTTAATGGGAGCCTACATTGTCATCGGGTTCGTTGGATTCTGTCTCATTTTCTTCTGTTTAGATCAGATCGGAGCCAGGGTCTACCCGGAGAAAACTGGACTTCAGGTATACTTTATACGAAAATAAATTTTTTAAATAAATTGATATAAAGCTCTTGCACATATTTCTTACTTTAGGGGTTTTGAAAAATTATATGAACATCAATGAAACTTTAGTATGTATGATTTAGCAAAATACAATATTGTAGCCTTTTCCCCTTCCCGTCCCCAACCTTGCTTTGCCGTTACTAAAATTAGCCAAAAAGATTATACCTTGAAGTAAGGTTTTGACATTTTTTTTTTAGCATTAATGCAAATTGAAGGCATTGAATGCATTTTAATCGGGTATACAAATACTGACTTGGCAACACTTGACAGAATTCAAATGTTTTAAATATATGACCCCGTGTACTTTCAATTACTGTGTACAATTAATACATTGAATATAAAAGTTACATCTAAAGTTACAATATATTTATCAAATGGTATTTATAGATATATCTTCAGCATCTCAATCTACTGGTAGGCCACAAGACCTTCCGTCTTCTAATACCTTTGCTCATCTTCAGTGGACTACAACAGGGCTTCGTCTTCGCAGACTTTAATATGGTATTCAGGTTTTTATGATTATGTTTCTCTGTAGAAATCTCAATTTTGTTTTTACAATTTCATTCATATTTTTGAGAAAAATATCTCTCTTTTATATTATACTTTTAGGCTTTCGTTACCTGTTCATTGAAACTCGAATTTGTGGGCTATACCATGATAGTAATGGGCGTGGCCAATGTATGCAGTGCGGTTCTGATTGGTTTATTTGCAAATCATGTGCCAAGGGAGGCGGTATTCGGAATAGGAGGAGTAACTCATATTGGAGTGATGATCATCATGCTTATATGGGTCCCAGACACCAGCACTTTGGTCCATTTCGTTATCGCTGCCGTTCTAGGTCTGTGTGATGCTGTCTGGCAAACACAGTGTAACAGTAAGGATATCTCGTATATGCATGTTTTCTTATTTGAGGAAGAGTGGGGATGGGGCTGGGTGAAACAGTATAAACTGAAAAAAATCTATCATTTGATGTCAGTTGCAAAAACTGTAAAATATTATTCTAAGCAGCAATTGGTTAATTATTTACATTTTCTGTTTGTAGCTCTAATTTGCATCACGTGTCCAGAAGCGGTAGACATTGCATTCGCAAATTACAGGATGTTACAGAGTCTAGGTCTCTTCATCTCATTCGTCAGTGATAGATTTATGTGCGTCTATTCCAAACTTTACTTTTTGATCATCATGTTGGTGGTATCCACCATGTTTTACGTGCTGGCGGAATACCGAGTAAGACAAATCGACAACATTGTTGATGAAGTGTTCGAAGAGCAAACCACTGTGAACCAGCCACGTGACAATTAGCCGTCGCCAAATGATTTGACACGTTCCGGTATTATATTACTCTGTATATTGTTGATGAATTGTGCTTCCTATTATTTTGTTGTTATGTTGTGATAATTTGTTAACTATTTGGGGTGTGAATTTGCTTTCTGTCTGGAATAGATTTATATCAAGTGTGTTTTGTATGAAAGTGTTGTGGAAATATACAGTGGTAGGTGTAGTGATAAAATTTGTATGATCATTCAAGAAAATAGAATGGGTGTTTCCATCAAAAATATAATTAAATACATACTCACAGTATTTAAAAATGTGCAAAAAAATAAACATCAAATTGAAAAGTACACTCTTTACAATTTCTAAACATATACGTACATACTTGTGCATGGCAGCGCAACCAAAGCAAATCAACAACTTTGGTTCACTTCCAGAAATGAACTCCAAAATCTACCAGTATAAAGTCCTAGCTATCTTAATATCGTTATATTACCATTACCGAAATCCTCATCAACTGTTATTTATGAATATTTAAGAAATAAAACCGTGTTCTCTGCACGGATATTTGTCATCATATGATTAGAGCTAGCGTTCCAAAGATCAGAAAACGCTTTGATTTACTTCTCAGATATTTGTGGAATTTGAGATATCTGCATTGGCACTACTGTTACAACACAGAATGCATATATAACAACGAAGAATCGTTTATGACAATTTTTGTTGCTGTGCATTTTATGTTAAGATAATCAAAACATTCTAGACTGATAACTATAATACTTTTATAAGTTTTGTGGGTGGTGTTACGTGCAGTGGATATCACAATTATGCACCGTTGTTTCTCCCCCCCCCCCCCCCCTCCCTCGACGTTACATATTGTAGACGGGTTACAATGATAACGTCAACATATCCTATACCATTGCATAAAATTGGTCACACTTAGTAACTTACGTATACATACATGCATACAAATATAAAATATACGTAGTCGTTGGTCAACAAAAACGGTCTGATATTTGTCTAAAATTCGATGTACAAATGATATGTTATCATAAAGAGTCTTTATTGGGTTGATGAGTTTATTAGACCTATAATTTTTCAGTAGTATTTTTATACGTATATACATGTACTTCACTTTCATTCATATCGCCCACCCATATTCTGCCTCCCTTTACTTCAACAGAACATGGCATATAACCTAGATCGAAGGATGTCAAGCAATGACAAGTGTCATCTAGAACATACAAACACTTTAAAGCTGTACATATGACAAAAGCCCTCCCTTGCTCGTCAGTGCTGATATCAAGTGGATTTAGAGGTGTGTCGGCTGGACCAGTGAAAGAAGATATCAGCTCTCCCTCTGACGTCATTAAGTAAACTGTGTCATTAATGTAGTCAGCTGTCCAGAGATTTTTATTTTTACCAATGGCAACATTGCTAATGCATTCATGGCAGTTTTCACACGACTGAACTGTTTTCTCTAGAGTAGAAAGTTTGAGTTTTTGAAACCGGGCGTAGTTACCAGATTCGTAGACAAAGTAACTCGGGCATTCATTTTCACACACAATTAAACAGTCTTCTTCATGGCTAAATGCAAGTCCAGCCGGGTAACCATCGAATTTGGCCAACTCTTTAAAGTTTGAGGTAGCAACATCGAATGACGTGACACATTGGTCGTCAACGCTTGCTAAATACAAATGTCCTTTTCCGTCAGTCGTCATTCTTCGAATACAAAACGGATCATCAACCGACCTGATAAAATTTCCACTTTCGTCGTACAATGAAATAACATGATCCGTGTAGGTAAAGTGATAATAGGACACCCATATTCCTGAAGGATCCCTCGTAACATGTGGGGCTTTCCTTTCGACAGAAAATGAAAACGATTTTGTAATAATCATTTCGTCAACAATCGTGTGATCTTTAATGTTAAAATCCACAAATAGGAACATCAAATGTTATATACTCCACAGTCCCTTTAAATAAATCTATACCCGATAAATAAGAGAGTATGGTACAACATTGAAGTCAGAAACCAATCAAGTTTCACATATTATGATAAATCCATGAACATATACTGAAGTTAAAAATTCGAAGTTGAAAAAGTTTACAGAGTGAGACGCCCGACAGCACAGGTGATCAGAAAAAGCTCACTTGAGCTTTCAGCTCATGTGAGCTAAAAACACAACTTTACAATAGGCAATCAAGCCACAGGGGCCGGTAACATACTGTTTTTGATTTTACGTAATCACTATTATGTATACAAAAAGAGTATATATGTAGTGATTACGTAAAATCAAAAACAGTATGTTACCGGCCCCTGTGAATCAAGCTAGACAAGATTCGCTAGCAACTATAGGTTAATTTACACTCAATATTCAGATAATTTATTAAAAAATAATACTACATGTGTTTTTCTAGTCTGAAAATCTGACGTTTTCGTGACTTTTTCACGATTTTGATATTTTACGTGCCAGGAAAACGTTTTTTCCTGGCACGTAAAATATCAATATCGTAAAAAGGCCAGGAAAAGTAAGATATTTCGGACTAGTAACAAACAATAAACAAGAGATGCATGGGCCACATCGCTTACCTGAGCATATTGGCTAGAAAAAGGCAGAAATCAGTTAAGTATTGAAAAGCATAGGGCTTGAGTTATAAACTATTTGAGAATACTTCCATATCAATAACAATGGCTTTACTGTTCTTGAACATATTTTTTCCTATGTGTATATTCATTTGTAAAAATGTCCCCATTGTGGCCCCTCCCTACCCGGAGGAATCATGATTTGAACAAATGTGATTCTAGACAACCTAATGATGCTTCCAAATCAATATAAACAAGCAAATTCAAAGAATTGTGGTCCCCCGCTTTCGGTGGTCTAATATGAACACCTTATCATATGTCATTTATTTAGAAATTATCATTGAAGTTGATTTTTTTGAAGGATGAAAACCCTAATCCTGACCGTTAAAAACTTATGGCCAAAGTTAAAGTTTTTTAAAAAGTAGGTCAACTCCAAGGTCAAGATCAAAGGGTCAAAGTTGTTGATATCCAATGAAAGATCTTCTCACAAGTATTACATATGTGAAGTATGAAAGTCCTAGCCATTACCGTTCAAAAGTTATGGTCAAGGTTAAAGTTTTTTCATAAGTGCGTAAATATTTAAGATCAAGGTAAAAAGGTCAAAGTTGTTGATATCCAATTAAAGGTCCTGCCACAAAGAATATATATGTGAAATATGAAAGTCCTAGTATCTATCGTTCAAAAGTTGTGACCAAAGTTAAAGTTTTTTAAAAGTAGTTAAAACTCCAATGTCAAGGTCAAAGGGTGAAAGTTGTTGGTATCCAATGAAAGGTCTTCTCACAAGTATTACATATGTGAAGTACGAAAGCCCTAGCTCTCACCGTTCAAAAGTTATGGTCAAGGTTAAAGTTTATTCATAAGTACATAAATCTCAGAGGTCAAGGTCAAAAGGTAAAGGTTGTTGGTATCCAATGAAAGGTCTTGCCACAAAGAATACATATGTGAAATATAAAAGTCATAGTATCTACTATAAAAAAGTTGTGACCAAGGTTAAAGTTTCAAAAGTAGTTAAAACTCCAAGGTCAAGGTCAAAGGGTAAAAGTTGTTGGTATATAATGGAAGGTCTTTTCACAAGGATTACATATATGAAGTACGAAAGCCCTAGCTCTCGCCATTCAAAAGTTATGGTCCAGGTTAAAGTTTTTTCATAAGTACGTGAAACTCCATGGTCAAGGTCAAAAGGTCAAGGTTGTTGGTATCCAATGAAAGGTCTTGCCACAAAAAATACACATGTGAAATATGAAAGTCCTAGTACCTACCATCCAAAAGTTATGGCCAAAGACTTACAGACTGACGGACAGACGAATGAGATTTAATGTCCCCTCGCTTTCGCGAAAGCGGGGGACAATAGACTATGACCTTTCCATTCTATAGAAGATTTTCCCTATAGATTCCTATAAATAAAAGTCGTTTATTGTACGTGTCCAAGCCCTAACACCCCCCCTCCCCCCCCCCCCCCCCCCCCCCCCCCGTCATGATTTGAACAGACTTGATTCTAAATTAACCGAGGAAACTTCCATTTAAATATGACCAATCATGTCTTAAGTTTCCTGTTCTCCAAAAGAAGACACGTGTTTCCACATAAGTTTGATCGTTCCTGACCCGGATGTTCTTGAGATTTCCTATATATTCCTATGCAAAACTTTGATTTTTTTCGTTGTGACCACCCTATCCACGGGGGTCATGATTTGAACAAACTTGATTCTACACTACCCAAGAATGCTTCCACATAAGTTTTATCTTTCCTGACTCATTGTGGCCCCATCCTACCCGTGGGGATCATGATTTGAACAAACATGATTCTACACTACCCAAGAATGCTTCCACATAAGTTTTATCTTTCCTGACCCAGTGGTTCTTGAAAAGAAGATTTAAAAAAAAAGAAAGACTTTTCCTATGTATTCTTTTTTATTAACTTTGATCCCCCATTGTGGCCCCATCCTACCCGTGGGGATCATGTTTTGAACAAACTTGAATCTACACTACCTGAGTATGCTTCCACATGATTTTCATCTCTCCTGGTCCAGTGGTTCTTGGGAAGAAGATTATTTAAAGATGCCATTTATTTTTCACAAATTCATAATTCACAGTTCTGCAGCTATAATGCGATGCTCCAAAGATTGAAAGAAGATGGGCGCATTTGGCGTGTGATCTGCAGGAATCATTTGTACGAAACATTTATGGTTTAAAGGTACTTGGACACAGATTTGAAGTTATTATTTTCTCTATAATATTACGACTTATATATTTTAATAGCATTTCACATAAAAATTAATTTAAAATCTTATTTCATTTAAAGTGAAAGATATTAAAATTTCAAATTTTTTGGCGGGTTTGATTGACACATCCTTGCACTTTCACAAATTAATTTTATTCTTAATATTTATATAGGAAAAGTGACAATCTCGTTGTGTATAAATGAAAAATATTAATACTATAATCCAGAAAATTCAGAGTAGACATGTTCGAAAGCAAAACAAACACACAATATATTGTCAGTCCATGCAGTTAAGGTGAGCAGACTTTGGCGGTTGAACGCACCCGGTGAATCGTAAACATCAACAATAACAGAGCTCGTGCCCTGTTTACAAAAACTGTGTACATAACACAAGTGTGCTCGATTTGCTAAACTCTAGATCTGTACACAACTCTTACCCCAGAATGACGATACTTGTGAAGGAGTTTTGCTTCCTAACATTTCTACTCTGAATAAAATTATTTTTCTGGATAAAAGTTTTAATATTTTTTATTAATACACACCAATATTGCCACTTTTCCTAAGGATTAAGAATAAGGTTAAAAGGATGACTGCACTTAACGCCGGTTTTTGGGTCTTTTTCAATCTCCGTTGTGACATTTATTTTTGTTTTTACTTTTGCC